AAGAATAGGCTTGAAGTGAAATGCCCCTAAAATAACGGCCACGGTGAAAGCGAATGAAGGGGAACCGAAGTATGCACCCAGTAAAAATTTGGCAATAGGATGAATATTACGCATCACCGATATCGCCTTTTCAGTGAATGTTACAAATCCTATTAGGCCATATCAGCAATAGCCACCATTCGCTGAGTACATTTGAGTCATTTACCTCCTCAATGTCTGCAAGAGCCCTTACAGACTTGACAGAGACCCAGTACAATGGTCGTGTCAGTCGAACGAGCAGTGGAGAGACAGAGCATAGAGCACGAAATGAAGAGGGTAAAAAGGGATTTCAGATGGAAAGGAGACAAACCCTGTTGTAGAGGTAGCGCTTCACGGCTTCGTACACCCACGAGGCGTCGTAAAAGTCCGCGTGGCGTTCCTGCTCCGGATGCCCAGGTGTTGCGTCCGTCATCTGCTGCAGGTCATGCGACTGGCTCGCCAGCCACCGCGTTATGAACGTGTGCGGGTCCTGACTGAACTCCAAGTAGAACTCGCGATGCACCTTCATCTGGTTTATCTGCTCCACCAACTCGTGGATCTAAATGGTAAAGAAGGTAAACAATAGCTGATCTAGCGCCTCGCCTTCTAGTGCTACCTCTACATGACTCTCTTAGCTTGTTGAAGCTTGGAAATGTGTACTCATTACAATAATCATTCGAAATAGTTGTGATCTACATACTCCTCACTGCGAGTGCAATCTATGAACATAAGAATACACACACGCTAAAGCCAGTGAAGGTAAAAGATTCCCATGCCATCTGCCTTGCTTAAAATATGCGATTTAAACCACCATCGATGCATAGAATGGCTTACCTTGTTGTCAATAGCCATCAGCTCCTGGTTTGATTGAGTATTTTGAAGATAGTTTTGCACCATTGACTTATACACATCATCCTGTAAATGGAGGAGAGATAAGTAGGGTTGAGTGAGGACAAGACTGCAAAAAAGCCTGCACGCTAAGAAACGGAGTGGGGAGCAACGATTGAGACTCGGGCAGAAACACATCAGCGAAATCTGAACGAGCAGATTCCAATACCAGCATGCACAAATCCCAGTACATTTACTCCATCTCATACATCGACTTAAAACACTAAAGTACCCTCTATGTCAAGACTGTCTTGTAGAAGAAAAAATTGCCCCGAAGACCAAAACAACAACAACAACTCCCATAAAGTGAAAGTTAGTTAGCTCGACTAACGACCAATGGTCCGACTTACAACTTCGACTTCTATGTCGTAGCACAGAGTCTTATTGGGATCCTCAGGATCGTTCACGATGACATGATTGATGACAATCGGGTCTGGAGCCTGCTGTAGTTGAATCAGACGGCTGGGAATCTCTGCAAAACGCATCCTAGGACATCCAAAGACCTGCTCCAGGTAGGCATCGCAGTTGATGAAATCCTTTTCGTGGGAATCTTGCAGTCTACCAAATCCCACTCCATAAGGCATACGGTACTTACAAGTGTTTAAGTAGGAAAGTCTGGGTCACCTGTGAACCTTGATGTAGTTCCAGAGAGCATAGAAGATCTGCGATCGAGTGCCCGTGTGAAGTCCGAGAATGCGAGCGAGGCGGGGATCCAGCTTGTACTGCGGTGGCTGGTAGTCCAACATCAAGAGAATTGTGCAACGCACATTGCTGTCCCCAGAGCGTTTCACCTTCGCATGAACAGAACAAATTATCCCGAAAAAAACCAAGAATCAATGATCCGACCCACAAGTACAAATAAAACACCCATTTGAGTTCAACAATTGATGCATTGAGCATAACTACAAATAACCAACTCTATAAACCGTGAAGACAGGAACAGCCGAAAGAGGGCATCAATAGAAACATGTCTAGAGGACATTCGCGTAATTTCCAGTTGCAACAAAGACCACTTGTCATTTGCCTACTGTGCTGTAAACCAATAAAACTAACTGGAATCAACATAAAATAGCTACTTGAAATCCATCAGTTTCCGTAGTTGAAGAGGTGCGATGCCATTCGACTAAGTGGTTATCCGGTCCATAGAGTTCATGATCAAGTTCAATGACTAGAGACTTGAAGAATGTGGAGAACTTGCGACGAAATCTGGTGTCAACAGTAGGAGGACCGTTCGGTTGGCCAGGTGGCTATAAAACAAAGGTAAGAGTGGGTTGTTATCAGAGTGAAGTCTCCTCAAGAATAAAGCGGATAAACATCAAATAATGTGTTTGAATGTAACAAGCGTGTATGGTCTAAGGGAGAGGGCATGAGTGATTGGTAATGGAAAACCGTGAATCCACCTTTTCCAGAAGCTGTCCCTCGACCTTCAGTTCCCAACCAGGAGGGCAACCGTCATTGACGGGCTGTCCGTCGGGACCAATGGAATCAATGTTGCCAGGTTTGAACGTGCTACTCAGCATGACTCGAAGGATGCGTTTGGTCTGAAACGTATCAAAAAGCATTACCCGTAACGACTGCAGAATAAAACGATGTGACATATATTGGCACAGGAATAGCCAACCTTGAGCGGCTGCTTCAGCGATTCCTGAAGGGTTAGTCGTTTCCGCATTAAAACTAGATCCAGCTTCTTTTCTACCTCCAGCAGTTCCATGTAGGATTCTGACTCAGGGATGATTTGACGCACAGTCTTGGTTAAAAGGCGATCAGCCATACGACGTCTTTTCTTGCTAGAACGAATTTCATCTTATTAGCTGAGAAGAATAAGGAAGCTAGACCAAGGAATGGCAGCTGATCCCATTAAAGTGACAATGATGAAGTATTGGGAGGTATATGGAAAATTACATCGAATAGCAATAAATTCAAACTCACTTAAATTGGTTCTTCCCAACTATTTGGTGCAATCGGGGATCGGATGCAACGACACGACGGCCTCCCATTTGTTGCATATTCTGACCGGGTGGTCCACGAGCAGCAGCTGAAACGCATACACTAGCTCGAATTTTAAACGTGAATGGAAAGTGTTTCAAAATCGGGTTGGGAAATGAAACTCAGTTACGGTCATTGAAACCTAAAGTCTTTCATCAGTAGGACCAAAGTCACTTCCACACTTCAAATAATGATGCTTGTGCCCATGCTTACTAATAACCCCAGTAAAAATGTCAAGACAGAATCATAACAGTTTCTCAAATTTAAGAAACACGTTGCAGCATGATTATATTGGGGAGAACCAGTTCGTTTGCATTATTACACAGTAAACTCCAAAGAACACAAATCAATACCAAAAAAAATAAGAACGTACCACTGAAAGGAGGTCGAACTGTATGTTGAAAGGACATTCCCACCAGGACAACAGGCAGACAAAGACCAAATGTGCACTGCAAGGTTATTGGTCTACGATATTCGAAGGTGATGCATGTTTTATTTATTCTCCTTAAGATTAATCCAGCTGATTAAGCTACTTCGCAGCTGTGGCACTTTTGTGAGCTATAATTAGCACTTTAGTAGCTTTGCGTAGTGTGAAAATGCTCTTGGATTTGTTCTAATCTGTTGAAACGGATGACGCTTTGCGTGGTGTAGAATGCTCTTGAGTTCGTTTCAATTGGTTGGAATGGATGGCGCAGTTGCAAACCATAGTGGCTGTCACCTGTTTTCCCTCGCACTCTGTTTGATGTCCTCTGATGATATACCATCTCTTGTTGAGGGAGACGACGGTGATGATGAGATAATAGACAAAGTTCCTGTTACTATTGTGACTGGATTTTTGGGTAATTTTTTACTTTTTGTACATATTCGTTAGGTGCGGGCAAAACAACACTAATTAACTATGTTTTAACGGCTGTGCATGGCAAAAGAATTGCTGTCATTCTGAACGATTTCGGAGAGGGATCGGCAGCAGAATCTACAGTTGCACTGAGGGAGAATTCATGTGATTTGTTCGAGGAATGGCTGGAATTAAGGAACGGCTGCTTGTGTTGTTCCTTAAAGGACCCGGGTGTAAGGGCAATAGAAAATCTTATGAAAAATCGTGGGAAATTTGATTACATTCTGTTGGAAACAACTGGACTTGCTGATCCTGGACCCATAGGAGCCCTCTTTTGGTTAGACGAGAGTTTGTGCAGTCAGATTGCCCTAGACGGTATCGTCACTCTACTGGATGCCAAATATTGCCTTCAAACATTAAGTAATTATGATAGTTCTGAAACCGTCAATGCATGCGAAAGGTTTTTTCTCATTTCGATTAACTCTTTAGGCAAATCGCCCTGGCTGATGTCCTAGTATTAAACAAGACTGATTTGGTAACTGGTGAAGAGATGCGTTTACTTGAGGATCATTTGAGGGAAGTGCACTTATTCCTCTTGATTTTAAACCGGTTTTGGTCTACGTTCTAGCGTTGCAGCTGGTTTTTAGTCGCTAATGTTGTTTTTGATGCATTACTAGTTTGGTTTGGTTTCTTCTTACAGATTCATCAATGCCACGGCAAAACTTGTCAAAACGTCATATGCAAGGTATGTTTTTATTTTTCATCGCTTCGACTTTTTTGTTTCCATTTTACTTCTCTATCACCATTTGTTCTGGGGTTGTAGTCCTGAATGCGTAACTTTAACGGGTTAAACATTTTAAATCCATATATTTGTTTCCGCATTTTTAGAATTGACCTTTCAGAAATACTGAATCTGAATATGTATTCCTCGAGGTAGGCTACTCCTTATGCTGGTACCGAATTTCATTGCTTGCAGCACCATTTTCGATGATCTGCGTTCCTCCTTTACTCCACAGAAACCTCATCTTGATCACGTACGTCATAGTTTTTCCTTCACCTAGCTGATCCCATTTACAGGCAATTACTACTATAACCATAGAGGAGAATCTCCGGTTGGATCGCAAGAAATTTGAAGATTTTCTTGAAAAACTGCAGTGGGAGAAAAACATCCGCAACAATTCCAACGTAGTTATGGAAGTTATGCGAATAAAGGTGCTGTATTTCACGTATACTCGACATATTAAATGTTGCTGCGCATTAGACTACTTCTTGGGCGCAGATTTATCATTTAAAACGAAGTTTTTAATGATCTTTTAAGAGTCTGTTTTTCATATTGCGCATTTTAGCTCTCGATAGTTTAAAGTAATCAAAGTGCTGCGCATCTTTCACAACTAATGCTTTTGCACGGGGCAGCTGGGCTTTATTTGAATCCCTTTCCACAGGGTATTATTCATTTCACCGGTGACACTGTACCGAGCTCCGTCCAGTGCGTTAACGAGTTGTATGATATCTTCTTAATCTCATCATCAGGTGCGGAAAAGCTTGGACCGATCGGCGTGCGACTGGTCTTTATCGGTAGGTTCACTATTTATAGCAAATTTCAATAACATATTTTTGGGGGTAAGCTGGGCTAATTGGGGCTTACCTTATCAAATGTGTGCTGAGTTAGACTTGCTAACCGAAGTCTTTTCGTAGTATTTTGAATGACTTGTTCGACCATCTTTAAGCCGATACTTATGGATGTCTTCATTGATTTCAGGACGTAATTTGGATCGCTGCGTTTTGGTCAGCTACATAAGGGGATGCCAATAAGTTTTGCAACTGGTTTTGTATATTTTTATTGCTTTCCTTCAATAGTTGGTTTGAGATATCAATCGACTGGTTACGTCTTGGGGGGATTTTCACGATACCTTCGCCGGGCTAAGGCGGAAGCCAACTCGTGTCCAGGGCCTGCACTGTTCGTGCAGCTGCCAGGATTGTTTGAGTCGTGCACAGCACTCTTGGGAATTCTTCATCGTTGAAGGGTGGGAGTCCGAATGTCCAGGTTTTGGGGTCCTCTAAGGTAGTGACGGGTGCTTCAGAGCGCCAGGGTGCGGCGGGCGGGGTGCCCGTTGTGTATATGGCAAGGGACCTGGTGTTCTCGGTGGCTACGTTTGTTCCGACGGAAGCTCGTTCGTCTAAGTCAGTTGTAGCTTTGTGAAACGGTGTGCATAGGTTGTTTCTAGGGTGTGATGTTGCCCATGATGTTTAATTCATCCAGGAGGTTTGAAATAAGTTCAACTGAAGTCCAGGGACACTAATTCTGCTTGCGGGATGCCTTCAAGATTTAATTAAACAAACAGAGCTAGGACTATGCCGCAACAGAGCAGCGGACTGCTTTGCTTAAAGCAAGATATATTTTTGTCGAATTAATTCAATTTAAAGGGTCCAATTGCTGGCGCGGCTTTTTTAATTTTGTCACGAGTTATCAATTTCATGTGAGCAAAGTATGCCAGATAGGTAACAACGCTTATTTATTTAAAGACGAGTTTATGTGGATTATTCTAATTAAATCACAGGTCTGTGTTTACGCTCCAAACCTAGCTTCCGGGTCTGTACTAATTCACGCATTGGCCTAACCCCAGTTAGGAATGCGCACTTTTTCCATGTAACACGCGAGTTTGCAGTAGCTAACTCGGAGTGGCTTTTTTTACACGTACTTTCTCGCTGCTTGCCTTTCCATGCTCTTATTTGTTTGGTGTGTATTGCGTGAATCCTTCTGATGGCATTATTACTTTTGGAAATGTGCTATCGTTCTCATAAAAAGGAAATTTGTTTATGTGTACACATATCTTACTAGTAAATATGGTAACTTTGTCCCACTCTGCTCGATTTTCTGCACCGACTTTCCAGATCTAGAAGTTGGGTTTAATACATTTATCTGCTGATCTGAGCGTTATTGTCCCTATAAAATATCAACTCCCATAATGGAATATTCCAGATCAAAATCCAAGGCCGATGAATTTAAGGATAAACGTCGTCCACGTTACTTTCGTTGCCTTCTAGATGAAACTTACTTTGTAGATCGCCAGGTTTGACATTTAGCTTGTATTTTTCTCATTTTAATCCCCTTGATAGAGTCTTCTCCAGCCCCTTTTGCACTGGAACTTCAATCTCTTCACTCTCGAACGACTTACGGCTGGTTTGTTCATTTCTTACTTCCCACTTCAGGCTAGGCTTTCCTCTTCTCGCTATCGGCAAATACCTTTTCGAAAAGTCAAAATTTTTCCAGAAATTCCATCTTGATCATTTTTTGGTTGTCCGACTTCTCCGTATGTTAGTTTTTCGCTCTTTCTAGGTAGCTTTCAGGTCAAATTGAAGACTTATATCACGAGAACAATCCCTACCACAACGCACTTCACGCCGCGGATGTTACACAAGCCACCTACTGCTTGCTCAAGCGACTGCGCGTAGAGAAATCTATCTCAGCTTTTGACTTTATGTGCGCCATTTTGGCCGCCATTTGTCACGACATCGACCATCCAGGAGTAAATCAGGCATTTCTCATTAAGACCAAACAAATGCTATCCATATTTTACGAGGTTAGCATCTTTCAAGTATTCCTTTACAAATTTTTTTTGAATTTCTAGGAATCTATTCTGGAACATCATCACTCCAATGTTTGCATCTCAGTTCTCTTACAATCTCGAGTCTTTTCCGCCTTTTCTATCCGTCGATGGTATAGAATTTCCAGTCATATTGGTTGTCACTTACTTTACTTTGACAAAATAGGACATTTGTTTGCATTCTAGGGGAGCAATGAAGCATTATATGAAACGTTTGATTTTGGCTACTGATATATCCAAACAAGAGGAATATCTTGAGCAGTTGGAAGTACGTTTACAAGCTGTTATTGCTACTTATTCACTTTTCAAGAGCCTGACGGAAAGACGCTATCCCAGTGAGAATTACCTCCCCACTCATGAAGATATCACTCTTGTAATGGAGGTACTGACGTTATTTGCAATTAAGGATGAATGTGGCTATTCAAGATAATGTATCCAAAACGAGTGGCTCACCGTTATTTTTCCTGTTTTAAAGCTTTACCTTAATTCATATTTAGATATGCGATTACGTACGTACAAGTTTATTTCTGCATTGAGTCCACTATGCCTTCCTAAGGATTCCTTTTGAATACTCGATGTGACATCATCGGGAGATAAATTTCGAGTGAAAGTTATGGCGATCAAAATTATTGTGCGAAATCCCTGGTTGCAGTTTTTTACTCGATTTCCACAATTGAACGTTTGTTACTTTCTTTATTGACGGTGTGAAAATGATGCAGATAGCAGGATTTGTGTCTCATTTAGAAAACTCGCTGAAATGGCGATGAATTAAAATTACATTATTTATGTTTCCTATTATTGCGATAGCCAAATTTTGTTACTATTTCTACTTCTATGGGTTCACGAGTCTACTTATTAAATACTTTGAAGTCTGATTTGTGGTTTCTCTCGAATAATTGCACGTTGACAACCTACTTCATTCTGTAAATCGTGTCCATACCGTTCTGCTGAGTAACTTAGAGCCGAGGAATCTTCTCATATGCAGAACAGCTTTACCTTCCAGTAGAACTAAGTGATCGGAAGATTCTGTTTCTTTTCACTCTATTTTTAATCCATGGTCACGGACTCTGGATGTGCCTATCTGTCCTCACAGATGGCGATCAAGTGTGCAGATATCTCCAACCCCTGTCGGCACTGGGAGACCTGCCAGCAGTGGGCTAACTGCATCACCGAGGAGTTCTTCCAACAAGGTGATCGCGAGAGCCTCCTTGGCCTCCCCGTCATGCCACTCATGGATCGCAACAAAACCACCAAAGCCAAGGTTCAAATCGGTAAGCCGCCTTTTCTCACCTCCCTCCCTGCTTGAGTACGTGTGAACCATTATGAGCTTTCCACTGTGAGAGGTAGATAGATGGTGCCTCTATTTCACTTAAGGGCGCAGGCAAACACACTTAAAGCTACTTGATTCTTTGTGAATATGCGTGAACTCATTTTTTGATGGGTATGTCTCAAACAGCACCCCTATTAGTGATATAGATATTTGACAATCAACAAATAAATGGCAATGCTTGGCTTTTTGCTTGGGATAGTAAACTCTAGTGGTTTACCGACAGGGATGAGACTGGTTTTAACATAGTAAATTAATGTTTGTACCCAGATGCACACAGATAATAAATGGATCCAAGTTCAATACACGACAGTCACTTTATCACTAATTTGTTTAGGCTTGACAAAAAGTGTGTAAACGAGGCTCCTGTAAATGTATACACCAGTTGACAGCTCCCACAGTGATGCAAGAATAGGCCTAAACAGACGCAAATTCAGAGTGCACTCCTCTTCACTGAAAGAGGTAAAACTGTTGGAAATGTATAACCAACTTAAGCTAATCATCTGACCGATCGGTGTGGCTGATGGTCGTTCAGTCCTCGCAGAATTTGCTCTTCCTTCACCCCACTACCCTCACGTCGAGCCTCATCTTGCCCTGCGGGACAGGTTTCATCGAGTTTCAGGTGCTGCCGCTCTTTGAACAGTGGGATGCTTATGTGCGCAGCAAGTTCAGCAGGTCGCTGGTGGCGAAGTGCAAGAAGAACCTCGCCATATGGTTGGCCAGAGACGCCGCAGCCAACGAGGAGCAACGCACCAACCTGCCCTTATGAGTACCACCACCACCACCTCATCGCTTTCTTTCTTTTTTCATTTCTCAAAGCGGCTTTATTTTGCTATTTATTAGGCTTTAATAAAACCATTTTGTTCATGACCAACCCAATGAATCTTCTTGCTAAGTTTCATGGTTTGTTGTGCCACTAATTCTTTTCGTTTCGGTGTCCGTGTCCATCTTCCAAGGTGAAGCTAGGCGAAACGTGCTCTTAAACCTACCAATTTAAAGAGTCACTTGAGGCGGGCGGCGAGTCAAATGCCACAGTCTGCTTTGTGAATGGAACGCAGTTTCCAATGTATGTGGAGGAGGTGAGTGTGCTTTGTAAGTCAACAAGGTGGTCGGTTTATTCACTAGAAAAAAATTTAGCAAGTACGAGAAAGAGTACTTTAGTATTTTCCATGGTTAGGAGATGACCGAGTGGTGGCCAGCACATTGATGAATGGAGGTCAAGGTTGTCTAATTTAAAAAATGATGGGGATGTGCGAGGGGATCCAAGTAAATCCGGGACTTTGGGACATATTTTAGGGTAAACACACAGTAAGTGTTTGTCATCCGCACATATTGTGTTTTCCTCTCCCATGAAATGTCGACGCCATTTAGACAGCTTTAACATCAGTAGGAGTGGATATCCGTTGGTCCGGGTTTTACGCCTTCGTTTAGGGGAAACTTGCATACTGTTCCATACCGGTGTTGCCATTGTTGCTCGCCATCCTCAGTAACGGTGTCCGGATAGGTTTGGCCAACAGCACTTGCATCAACTATAAGCAATGCATAGATCACACTTGCCATCTACCGCTGCGCGTAGTGCCCCCGCGGTTGGATTTCCTTGTATGGGTAACAGAAAAACTAAAATTTCCGGTTTGACTTCAACTTCACTCACATGTACTAATCACACTTAATTCCCTCCTATAATCTCCGTTGCACCGTCTGATGAACCTGAAATTTTGACAAGCAGACGCTTATTTAAAGTTCCACCGGGTGGATCGCTGTGACAGCTTGAGAGACTGGAGACAAACCTGAATAAGGTAGAAATCTGCGTGTTTTACCATCCCAGGACGAATTCATTCGCTAGCCTTTTTTCCACGTGGAATATAACCTAAAATTCCTCCTTTGGACACGTATTTCCCAACTCTGATTAGGATTGTTGTTTTCAAAGTTACCTTGAACATGAGAAGCATAACCTGTGTGCCTGCACCAAGCATAAAAATTGATGCTACCGAAGCTTCCTTCGACAGTGATGAAAGCAAGTCTGTTATACCTGAGATTCCACCATTAGAGCGCATATTTTTTGGAGTGTCAGTAAGTACGCAGTCGTTGGTTCTATTTAGTCGACTTTCAAGCGAGTTCTGGGGCAGCCTCATGGCGCCACTACTATGGACGCCGTGATGATCATGCAGGTTTGGGTTTTATTACCATAGAAAATCAGTATTGAGTACTGAGATAATCATCGCGCCTAGAAGTATTTAACGCGATAAACACTTAGATTCTACGCAAAAATCGCCTAGCCTGCGTTTATTTAACATTTTTTCCGGCTCCTGTGATTGACACCACGTCCGTTCGCACGAAAAGGCGCTTTGGTTTGATGCGATCGTGTCAGCTTTGTTTATCAAAAGTTTCCCGTACAAAATTTAAAAACTTCAACGTCTTGGGAACAAATAAATTGTTTATATTGACAATCCCAAAAGCAGAAATGTTAGCATTCCAGTCACTACCTTCTAGCTAACAATTCCTTGCTTTCTTGAAATCGACCTTCTATTAAGTGTTGACCTCTCCGCATTACTGTGGCAGAACCCATCAGGAGGAGCCAGTCATGCGATCGTTTGAAATGCCTCCCCCTCATCCACCTTATTGCAAATGGACATTCCAGTTTTTCAGCGCTTGGCGGCAGGATCTGCGCTCATCCTGGCAAGTGCATCTACGCTGATTCGAATTTAAAGGAATGAGTTGACTTTTACAGCATCAGATTGTTATTTTGAATAAAAAGGGTCAACCCCGGCAAAAGAGGCATCACATGACGTGACGGCACCACGTGACGTCCCTATCTCCTCATCTGGGCTCGGTGTAGTACATGTGAGGCATCTGCTCTTTTTCAGGTCATGAAAACTAGCAACAAAAATGAGTGTAGGACGCTCCTAACGCCTTGTTGTATTTTTTTAACTGGCAAATTCGATATTGAAAGCCTAGATGGCATATGAAAGCAATAGAACATCTGGGCGGTGGCGGTGCGACTGCTCTCCAACAGTCTGGTGGCGAGCGTGCTGAAATAACACTAAGTGGGGCATCGCAGTCCTGAATTTCAAGCTAGATTACTCCCAAACCAATACTGTCGCATGGTGGATTCATTCGATATAGGACTAAGCAATTTAAGAACGGATTCACTCCTGTGATGAGGTTGCTGGAATCACTTATCGTACTTTAGTGTTTTGTTTTACTATTTCAACCTTGAGTTGGGAAGAATTTCACTGAGAACTATTAACTGTAAACAAGAACTCCAAGGGAAAAGCCAAATGGAGGGATACCCTACCCTAATTATCAACCGGAGACTAATGCTACATTGTACTTACTTGGCAAGGAGTGCTGCAAGCTTCCATGACCTAACAGCAGTGGCATTCCATCTGCGGAGACCCATTGCGTGGTACTAGTCTTCTTGCATAAATCTCATGCCAACACTCCCAAACCTTGTGGTGAGAGATAATAGTGGCATAGGTTTTCCATGTGCTCAATCTCCAACCAAACGAATAGCCGTAGGCCAAAGAACATGTTTGGGTTGCAATAGGATGCATGAAGGGCCTTGACAGCTTGTAATACATGCATGGCCCTGATTCCACTTCGACCAACTTTATACGTTTAATTTCTGTGAAGATGACCAGAATTTATAAAGGCCGTGCCAACAGCTACCTGAGGTAAAAGGTGTCTACTCCTTTAAGCCAACCTTTTAAGAAGAACGTATATTCATAACCATCGACACATGTCATTCAAAAAAGTTGCTAGATCAAACATTCCTATTGGGGATGGTCAGAATGGATGAGTTGGAGACTATGCATATTCATTCGGAGGTACCCGAAGTGAACGTAGATTAGCTAAAGGCAGAAAGCGAGGTTGTACCAAAAGAAGAACGTGGTGGTGGTGGTGGTGGTGGTGGTGGTGGTGGTGGTGGTGGTGGTGGTGGTGGTGGTGGTGGTGGTGGTGGTGGTGGTGGTGGTGGTGGTGGTGGTGGTGGTGGTGGTGGT